TCAGTAGTTGGCAAATAAGCAAAGTGGCATGTCCCTACCGGCATTCCATAATACTTCAGATATCTAGAGCGGATATTTGTCTTGCTTATATTCTGTCATTCATGTAAACCATTCAGCAATTTCTCATAAAATTCCCTTGTCAAACAGAAATGTTCAACATTTACGAGCCTATCATTTACGGGACTCACCTCTTTCACATTCTCTTTTAATTTTTTCTGCTAAATTTGTTGAATTATTTCAACCTGTTGATGGACGTTGGTATCGTTGGAATAGTATTCTTCCACGAAAACAAAGAAGTATCTATGTGTTTTAAACATACGCATCTGAAATGTGTTTTTCACTTGCAGATAGCTTCTAAAAATCATAATTTTGATATTGTAATTGGTATTCAGACGTTTTGACTATTATAGAGTTCAATGGATACTTACTTTCATAAACGAATACATTTAAACTTATTTTTCAATCACAAAAATAAGGTAAGCATGAAAACAGGCGTGTCCCATATCTGGCTAAACTGTCCCGTGAATGGTAAAATTAATTTTGGAATATTCATTCGAGTAATAGGAAATTTCGCTTATCGATGTAAACGCAAAAATATTGGAGTAGCTTGTATTAATTGTAAGACAGAAAGGTTTTTTGGAGCAGATATGGTGTGAACTACCCAGTATTTGTCGTTAAATAAATACATTCTGAAAACTTTATAACATTTTCATAGATTTTTCAGTTAAATGGGATATCACTTTTCATGCATCTTGATATAAAATATGTTATTTTATCTAGATACTTAATATCTGTTTAAACAAACATATTGTACATTGTTTTGCAGTTCAATTATAAGATAATAGTAATAAGATTGATTTGTCCCGTGTCGTATGGTCCTTTTCAGATGTATGAATGGTCTGTTTATGTCTGTACAAGGACATAAACATACGCCTTGATAAATAAATAAATAAATAAATAAATAAATAAGACAACAATTTCTGGCGCAAACCAATAGAAATATTTATATCAAAGTGCGCATGCGTGAGGTGGATTTTCCGGGAAGTTTGTAAAAACTGAGGCCCGGCATGCAAATTATGTCAAATGAAATATGAGAAATTAGTTGTTATAATAAGATGATGAAATGGAATGATATAGGAATGATATGGGATAATGGATTGTATATCGGACTGTAAACAGACAAATACAAGAGATATATATACAAATACAAGGACAAAATGATACATAAAAACGATATTCAAAAACACGAATATCGACCACATGACATACTTCCCCACTTTGGGGAATGTCGCCCCGACATTCATAAAATATTAAAGAGGAAGAGCTTGAATCAGACATTGCAAGTAGTAAGCTTAGACCATAAAGTAACTAAACTACTAGGTACTACAAAACTAAATCTAAATACTGAAGGCAATTACAACCTGTGAGTAAATATATAATACCCGGGCAAAATACCTTAAACTCAAGCATGTTCCACAAAAATACCGTAAGCCGCGAATCGCGAATAATATATGTCACGCGGAAACAAAATTTTAATTTATCAGTAGAACTGTGAATTCATTGAAGAGGTGCACTCTCAACAATAAATCCTTTATTTTTAAAGTACTGTAAAGTACATTTATAAATTACCAAGGTAAAATACATGGTACATGGTATAAAACATAAAACGAAACACATCATGTACTAAGCAACGCCTAACTTCAAAGTTGAAACACACCTAGACAATAAATCAAAAGAAAAAGCATTAATCTAATTTCCAGTTATCATTAAGCATCCATCCGGGTTTCTTTCTTGTACGTTTCTGTCTCTGTAAATTGTTGTTGTTGTCCTTAGATGGATTTCTCAGTGCAGGAATGACATATTTTGAACCTGTAATAGAATGAGATGTTTTATTTGGAACAGAATAAGAAGTTTGAGTTGTTGACGTGGCATCTTGTTTGCTGTTTGATGTTCCTGTAAAAGAAGTTGACTCACAATTGTTAGAATCATGTATTGTGGCAGAATTGCTTTGTGAAACATTTGATGGACTTGATGTAAGTGAGGAATTGAAATCTAACGGAGCTGTAATGGAAACATCAGAGAAGGGATTGGAGAACGAGTTCTGATCCAAATGTAAGTCAGAGGAAGCGGGCTTGTATAAGGACTCAGTTGTTTTGCACAAAGGCATCCACATAAAGGGAAGTAAAAGGTTCCTGTGCAAAACCCTGGACCTGTCCTTGCTGTTTTCCTTCTTCACCTCATAGATGGGAATTCCAGAGGTGGGCTGGCTGAGAATGGTATAGACATCTTTCTCCCATCTATCGGCAAGTTTGGATTTTCCCCGAACACCTACATTTCGGACCAGTACTCGATCCCCGGGCTTCAATTCCGCTTCTCTCACACGGAGGTCATAGTACCGTTTATGTTTCTTGCCTTGTTTCTTGGCCTCTCGGAGTGCAACAGAATATGCGAATTTTAGTCGGTTCTGGAGACCTGAGACGTAAGAATGGTCCTTGACAGGAGATTTGTCTGGCTCGATGCCAAGAAACGCATCGATGGCAAGCCTTGGGTGGCGACCAAACATGAGAAAGTGGGGAGAATAACCAGTAGAATGGGGAGTAGAGTTATAGGCATGGACAAGAGCGGGAACATGAGACTTCCAATTGACCTTCTTGTCATCTTCTAGGGTCCCCAACATATTCAAGAGGGTTTCGTTAAAGCGCTCAGGCATCCCATTTCCCTGTGGATGATACGGAGTTGTCCTGGTCTTGTCAATATTGGCCAACTTGCACAACTCCCGGATAACTTCACTTTCAAAATTTCGCCCTTGATCACTATGGAACCGACTAGGAAAACCATAGTGACAAACAAAATTTTCAAAGAGAAGTTTAGCGGTTGTATGTGCAGTTTGGTTCTTGGCAGGGATAGCCTGAACAAAACGAGTAAAGTGATCAGTAATGATCAAGATGTTTTCATAACCACCCCGAGACATCTCCAGAGAAAGAAAATCGATACAGACAATTTCCATTGGATAACTCGACTGAATAGGATTTAACTTAGCAGTCGTTTTATCCAATGACTTTCTCCGGATACATCTGGGGCAGTTTCGAACCCTGTGTTCGATATACTGTTGGTTCAAATGTCACAGGGTGAGAAAAATGTGCAGCCTGACCGGGACTCGAACCCGGGACCCTCGGAATACCGTTCCGCGGCTCTACCGACTGAGCTATCCGGCCGCTTACACATCTTCTCCCCTAAATAGTGAACAGTTCTGAACCGTGACATACTCCCCTGCTTTATTGAAATTCGTCCTCGAATTTCACAGAGTTACAGAGCAATGTAAATTAAACTCTGAGCATATTCAGTCACGGCCCCACGTTGGGCGCCAAATGTCACAGGGTGAGAAAAATGTATGAATGGTCTGTTTATTTCTGTAAGGACATAAACATACGCCTTGATAAATAAATAAATAAATAAATAAGACAACAATTTCTGGCGCAAACCAATAGAAATATTTATATCAAAGTGCGCATGCGTGAGGTGGATTTTCCGGGAAGTTTGTAAAAACTGAGGCCCGGCATGCAAATTATGTCAAATGAAATATGAGAAATTAGTTGTTATAATAAGATGATGAAATGGAATGATATAGGAATTATATGGGATAATGGATTGTATATCAGACTGTAAACAGACAAATACAAGAGATATATATACAAATACAAGGACAAAATGATACATAAAAACGATATTCAAAAACACGAATATCGACCACATGACACCCGTAAATGACCAGAGCGAAAGAAAATTATAAAACAGTGAATTTCTCAATGAAAGTGATATTTCTATGAGAAAAATTATTTGTTTTGCTTCGTACTATTGTTTTCGTTTACTCTAACTTGGATTTACATGTATATGCAAATCTAGCAATTTTGTTGAACTTCTTAGACCATCTATACGATCTTTTACTAATTTTTTTACTATTTTCAGTTCAATTGTTTAAATATTGTTAATATGGCCCAACCTTGCCAAAGGAATATCTGCTCCATTTCATATATAAATATAAGTTAATCTTAAATCATTATAAATATATAATTCAAAGTATTGACATTAATTTCTGTCAATCCATAGCATCTGTAAACTAGGTCACTTACGGGACAATTGAAAAATCATTTACGAGTCCTTAATAAATTGTCAATATACGAGATGACGTAAATTATTTCACATTTGACAATTGAAGAATAAATAAGTAGGTACTTTCAAGAATTCGTCAGTAATTTTCACATTTTCTCACTCATCCATTGTATGGATCTGTGGATTTTATAAGGTTATTCATTTTGAAAATGAGATTTAAGCATATTCGGTATGAAATGCATTTCCACGAGTTGTTTTTAAAAAGATGTATTTTTTGTCAGTTCAATGATTGATACCCATTTCAAGATGTTCATATAAAAAGATGATAGAAAGTTTATTTTAAGAAACAAAATAAAATCGCCATACTATATGCACAAATTTAAGGACCATTGTCACGAAAATGACGAAATTTATTTTCTGGTTCTATCTAGAAAACCTGTCATAGGGGAAAATCTAGGACATTTGTACTAGATATGCTTTATATTTAAGATGCCGAGTTACTTATAATTTAAGAATGGAATAGAATTATAATATACAAAAAAGTTAATTTTTCAGTTCTAGAATTTATGAAATGTCGTAGATCTAGATCTCTAGATCAAGATCTACTTAAGTGAGAATGAGTGTGTGTCCATTTTAAGATAGATCTAGAATCTACAATATTCCATCATAATAAAAAAAACTTAGATCCTTTATATAAAAGTAACTACGGTTGTGATGCAATAAAGAACGTGTACAAAAGTTAAACAATAAACAATCTAATGCCATACTGCAGTAGCATCATCCTTGGCAACGCGCATTGGAAATTATCTTTTCCCGCTTTGCGAACTTTTTGGACTAAACGTCATTTTGGCGCCAAATAACCACGTGGAATTTGACTGACATGTAATGCAGTTAACTGGAAGCAATGACGTCATCTTAAAATGACGATGGTAAAAACCGCGCGTTTTCAGGAGAAACATGGCAGACTACAATGGTAAGAAACGTTTTTAGAATTAGAATAAAAGAAAAAATCTAGATTTATTCAGATCTTTCATGTAGAAAAAAAGATCAAAACCCTTTTTTGTAAAATTTTGTTGTTTATTGATCGTCATTTTATTTATGTAGATCTAATAGATCTAGATCTAATTGGAAATCCACAGGTTTGCCAAACGCACAGACGATTGGGGTCAGACCCTGTCCCACCCCCCCCCCCCCCCCAACGTGAATTTACTTTCGGTTTTAATTAAATGTTGATTTTCCTATTACAAAGAGATGTATAAATGTTTATTCTGATTGCATCTAGGAGATAATTATAATTCTATTTTCTATTGATTTACACCGGAAAAGTCACGGTAAGGTTTACTGGTTTGGGAGATAAACTCGGCCGAAAATCAGTGTTTTGGGGGGGCATATTTCATTTATTTGTTTACGTATTCTGATGAATCTTGCACCATAATAAACTTCAGCTCTTCGATTTTCCGGTATCACCATAAAAGTTATATTTAGAAACATAACAGTAATTTTGAGAGGCCCTGGAAGAGGTACATAAAAAGGATATTTTTAACGCGCGCGAGTAGATAATTCCGGCTCTTTGTTTTTCTTCTTAAATGAGTAAGTTAAAACGTAAAATAACATGTTTAGACATTTTATTATTTCTTTGCTGTTCATTTATGACAAATAAAAAATATTTGTTACCAAAATTGTTGAGCATCACGTTAGTATAATGAATATCTATGATAACACGATATTTATATGCAATGTACTATGTAACATATAAATCATTTATACGTAAAAACACATGCATTATCATTTATTTACGTTAACGAAATATGTAGTTAAAGAATTAGTGATTCAAATTTATTTTTGCTTAGCTTAACAGAGTGAAGCAGAAATTAATTAAGTGGTATTCAACCTACACATTAACATTATCAAAGGAGCATTTAACATCAGTCTTTCAATCCATTCCACTTAAAGATTACAATTGTGTAATCAGCCTTTTTTTCTGAGTTAGCAAGACAAAAGTGAGTCTGAATTTCATCTACAAAATGTATACGTAAACGTCGTCTGCTTTACCGGTAGTCGGTCAATATATAAAAGTACCCCTGTGCGAGCCTCAAAATGAGCATCTGCTGCACATGCGCACAACAATGGGATTCCCTTACTTTTTATAGGCACGTTTTGTAAACAAACAGGTAAAAGTCTGTGTTATTTTTTAAATATTTTACCAAACTTGACCAAATGTCCAGATATTGTCGAATTCCAGTGATAGTATGGATAAGATAATTAAAAATTCCGATAACTCGATTTAATTATAAAAAGCCGAGTTTATCAACCAGCCGAAGTTATCTCCCCGACCAGTATTTAATAATGATTTATAAAGGTTTTATTATACAAGGGTAATCGTGTTTACATTTTGGAGTCTGCAATCTTTACTTTATTGAGACTTGATGGTATACGGTAATTTTTTTCATGTATGTTAAAATTGTTTGAAAACCATTTTTATCGTTGTAATAGATGTCCCATTCGTGTTTAAATATTAAAATAGTTTTGATAGAGTGTTTACTGGGGCGTATCACGTTGGGGGGGGGCAGAGTCTGACCCCCAAGCGTCTCTGAACTTAAGGCCACAAATCCTACATGTTAACCGGACAATCAGTTTACTAGACAGAATCTATTCCTGTGAAATAAGGCTTATTTTTTTGCTTCGATTAAAAAATCATTTGACTGAATCGTACACACACTTTCTACTTCGAAGTAAATATCAACAAAATCACTCTCAGGCAAATATTGTTGATTCAGCTCTTTATTTACTAACATACCCTTTTTGTGTCGCCTTGAAAAGGTGACATATAGGGGTTACTTTTGTCGGCGGTGTCGGCGGCGGCGTCTGTGTCGGCGTCGTTGTCGGCGTCGGCGTCCGCTATAGCTTGTCTGGAGCATAACTCAGTCACTATAAGTCTGATTGACTTCAAACTTGGTATGCATGCTTCTTTCAATAACACGAAGTGCAGTGCACAAGGACCGGTACTCTGCAGTTCTTATTTTTTGAGTTATTGCCCTTTGTTAATTTTCATACTTTAATTTTGTCCGGGCCATTTCTCTTCAACTAAAAAAGCTATGGACTTGAAACTTCATAGGATGATAGATCTCTTTAAGAAGAAATGCAGTGCACAAGAACCAGTACTCTGCACTTCCTAATTTTTGAGTTATTGCCCTTTGTTAATTTTCATACTTTATTTTTGTCCGGGCCATTTCTCCTTATGTATAAAAGCCATTGACTTGAAACTTCATTGGATGATAGGTCTCATTAAGAAGAAGTGCAGTGCACAAGAACTGGTACTCTGCATTTCTTATTTCTTGAGTTATTGCCCTTTGTTGCTTTTCTTACTTTATTTTTGTCCTGGTCATTTTTCCTCAAGTATGAAAGCTATGGACTTGAAACATCATAGAATGATAGATCTTATTGATAAGAAGTGCAGTGTACAGAAACTGCTGCTCTGCACTTACTATTTTTTTAGTTATTGCCCTTTGTTATTTTTCATATTTTATTTTTGTCCTGGCCATTTCCCCTAAACTACATTGTTCACAAGGCGACACATCCGACTCGCGGAGTTCTAGTGTTTACTAGTTATTCCATGACCTGGTCATGAGGGGGAATAATCTGTTCTGTGCAGTCCCGAATATTGAGGCCCTTGATGGGTTATTTTAGATAGGTTTTACTTTTAATTCTTCTCAACGTTACCTCAGGAGACAATCGTAACATATTTTAATGATTAAAAGTAATTTTAAATCTCGTTCAAACAATATTTCATTGTTCATTGTTGTCTTTTACAAAGAAATGCAAATTAAAAAACAAATACTATAAAGGAAACGGGTTACGCCCATTGGAGGAATCTCTACATGAAATGTACAAAAAATAGACTTTTATGGCTTTTGCAACATGCTACATGATGATCAACTGGAAACTTTTGAGAGAAAGAACAGAATTCCATTTGAATATCAAATGTGTCATACATTTAAGGATCATGAAGAATCAATACGTTAATATGAGTTAAAAAGTGTTAATTTCAATTACACCCCTATATTGACCTCTTCGGAACAAGCATGGCTGCTGTGTCTATTTAAGTGGCATACTGGGTTTTTCCAGTATCTTAACATTGCTATTCAATAGTCGTAGTTTCCTTGCTTAATTTCAATTTAAGACTTCAAAAAATTTTGAAACACAATGTCTGGTAAATTGAGTTATCTACAAAATTTGAATATTATTTTTTTTAAGCTCTCCAAAGGGTAAGCATATAGTCACTGCTTTGTCCATCTGTGACTCTGTCTGTCCACTTTTCTTGTCCATGACATAACTCTGAAACAACAAGAGTTATCTACATAAAACATAGAAGTGCAGTGCACATTAAACAGTAACTCTGCCTTGCCTAATTTTGGAGTTATTTCCCTTTGTTCATTTTTATACTTTGAACTTTGTCCGGGACATAACTCTGAAACTATAAGAGATATCAACATGAAACTTTGTAGGTAGATATATCTCATTGGATAGAAATGCTGTGCACATGAACAGGCTTCGCGAAACTGCTGAAAAATTTGCCTGACATTCGGTCAGACAAACTTTCAATTCTTGTCTGACCGAAAGAACTTTGTCTGACCGAATTTTTTCCCCCAAATATATGTATATGGTAATACCTTGGTGTTTTTTTTTAAAGACATAACATCTTTTAAAGATTTGCAACACAATTTTATTCCCTTAAATAAAACATTAGTTTATCCAGATTGATGGACTCACAGGCGCTAGTCACATATTCAAATATTTTACATAACCAGTCTATATAATTATGTATATATAAAGATATATAGTAATTAAAGCCCATATAAAACTTTAAAAAGTTTGTTTCAAGCACGGTGAGGCTGTGGATGGACTCTGTTTGGAAATCAAAACATTCATGATCGAAGCGGCCATTTTTCCATTTTACCCACAAATTTTCTTGGCGGGCGCCTGGACCGGTATGCCTAAAATACGAAAGTGAGATTTTTGACGAAAGTGAGCGAAAGTGACTTTTAAAATTTGAATTGTACCGTTTTAATTGAATTTTACAGTAAAATTGCTATTTGCAGACGTATATTATTAGCAACTTATAATATTTCTTTTTCAAAAATAATCACTATGATGATTTAATCGCCATTTATTTGCATAATTTCTATACACAAGTTCTGAGATCTTCCTTTCGCTCACTTTGAAAAATACGAAAAAGTGACATGTAAAATATTGAATATAGAGTTTTAAATTTTAAATTTGTACTAAAATGTAGACGTATGTTATCAGAAATATATAATATTTATTTTCAAAAATAATCACTATGATGATTTAATCTTCCCTTCGCTCACATTGAAAATACGAAAGTGACTTGTAAAATATGAAATAAAGGGTTGAATTGAAAGTTATACTAATATTGCATTTTTCAGGCGTATATTATCAGAAATTAATATTAATTTCTTATAATATACGTCTACAAACTACAAAGGGCTCGGTACGTTTTTGGTCAATTTTGGCCTATCAATAAAACATATTCAAATTTTGATATATCAAAATTAAATTATATTTATAACAGATGAAGCAAGATTTAGTCAGATATCTTTTTAAACAAAAAAGTTATATAAATATCAAAACAACCTATCAAGAAAACAAAATACTACAGTTTGACGTCATCAACGTCACGTATTATTTTGAGCGCATCGCTTCGAGTAATTAAAAAAATATAATGACGCATATGTATTTTTTAAATTGTTCATCGTGTAATGCAAAGGAGTTGGTGATACATTTGATTTACATTTCTACCGTTCAATTACGATTGCAAAGACATTAATATTTAGTCACAGTGAAGTATATAGGAAGACATACAATAGCTTCTTTTTATATAATTTACTACCCTCTTTAAGCAGTTTGTTCAGCGACTGCTGTTTTATAAGATACACATTTACTTCAACAAAT